GCAAGCCTCTCACACGCCTTCTTAACCCAGTGGCAATTATGTGGGAAGTTGAGGCCACGCTTCCAAGAGCTGGGAAATAACAGCTGAATTCCCTCAGGTACAGTCTGAGTGGCTCTCCTGCCCATCACAGGTGAATATTGGTTAGCCTCTGTTTAAAAAAAGGAGCTGCAGCTTCACCTTTTTGCTGAGAAAATGAAAGAAAATGCTCTGCAGCAGTTTCTCCCTCACGTGGGGTCCTGGAGGAGGCTTGGGTCCAGCTGTGGGCAGAGGTGCTGGGCTGGGAATGCCAAATAAGTATTGAGGAAGCAACTAAAACCCAACTGCTGTGCAAGGCAGAGCGATGTTCCCCTCCCAGGCAGGTCCTGTCTGGTGTGGTGTCCTCGTCTGAGGTGTTTACAGGACTAATAGAAGGGCAGGTTCCCAGTGTGCAGGGGTTTGTCTTTTTTTTTTTTTTTTTTAAGCTAAAAATTAGGCTTTACATTGAGTAAAATTCAAAATTTTGAAAGTATACCTATAGCTGGAAACTTTCCAGTCTTTGCTGCTGGTCAGTTACATTGTGCTTTAAGTATGGTCACGCCCTGGAAGGTTTTTGTAAGTAATTTTTCTCAATTTGTAAATGAAATTCAATGTTACTTTGCTTTTCAAGTTTTTATTTAACAGATGTATTAGCAACATGTGTTAAGAAGTGAAAGTTATGTTGAAATGCAAGTTTTTGTGTTTTGGAAAACTCTGTACAGAGAGGAAATAACTATCATAAACTAGAAGGTCATTATCATGCAAGAAAAAAACTAGGATAAGATATAAGGAACATTATAAAAAATGTGCTTTTTAAGATTATGCTGAGAACTGTTGGCAGATATTTTGTAAAACAAGCAAACAAACAAAAAGAAACAAACAAAAAAACTTCACCAAACACAATTGTCTTCATATTTAGTATCTGTAAACTAATTAATGAGTTGTATATACACGTGGAGGAGAAGTACAGTCACCTAATATAAACATGTAATTAAGAAGGTAATGTAAAAATGTGGTGAGAGTGGCTGTGTCAGACGTTAAGTGCAAGGTAATAATGCCGTGAACTTTTCCACTAGTTTTTTATTGTCATCTGGGGGTTGAACTGAAGAGCAATGTGGTTACCAGGTTATGCTTCACTATCTAGCAGTAATTTCACTATATTTGGTAGTAGCTTTTCAGGTGTGGATGTGTATAAATGCACGAAGGGGAAGGAAGATCCTTGTGTTGTATTGCTAGGGATGGCTCTTGCAATTCTAACATAGGAGGGGAAGGATTTTGAGGTGTCTGCTATCTGCATAGTTGTAATCTGGAATTTTCAGTAGATCCTAATGGATTATGGGATTTTTTTTTAAATTTTTTTTGGCATTTATAATATAGTAGTCTGTTACAGATCTGTCCATTAAGAATAAATTAAGGCTAGGCCAACATTTGATGTTGTTTGTGTTAAAAGACTTCATTCTAGGCCATTATTTCAAATGAGACTGTTTTTTCCCAGTGCACATGGGTCACTCATTTGCACATAACAGTGTAATATAAGCACCTCACTATTTCATCTTGTTTGGTTTGCCTAGGTATACTCAGAACTGTTCTCCACTGGTTCTTGGTGAGGAGCAGTAGAGGTGGTGAAGTTCCAATCGCTGTTTTTTAGGAAGTGAGAGTATCTTTGGGTGTAGTGCAGTTTTATAACTGGAAATCCCAAGTGATCCCCTTGTCTTTAGCAGGCTCCCAAGGGTAAATGTGAAATGTGAGGCCTTTGGCAAGATAGCAGAACCCCAGCAAGCCACGCGGGTGGGGCTCCTGATGCAGATGGCTGGCCTTTCATCTTCTGCACTAGCCCTAAATTAGAAAGGGCCCTGTGGTTTGTTATTCAGAGAGGTTTTGTTAACTATCGGGTAGGAAATCAGAGAGCCTATATTTGCACAATTTATAGTGTGCTAGATATATAACATGCTAACAAGTAGTGACTAGCAGACGTGGTTTTGAGGCCATGGGCAAGTTGGATGCCCTTGTGTACTTCAGTCCTGTTAATTGACTGATGCTCACATAAAAACCTCGAAGTGATGGGAGCCATGGTCTGTTGCCCTGCTCATTTTCTTGTTGGATAGGAATTGTTTCTCTCTGGGGTCAGTATATGACTTCCAGAGTTATTCTATCAGCTTTAAATAAGTTTGGACAAAAAACAAGTTTTGCAAACTCAAACTTCAGAGAAAAAAAAATAATAAAATAAGTGATAGGATTTGTTTGTAAAAAGTCTTTCTGTACTGGTATATTTTTATGTTGTTGAATATGAGAAAACAAAATACTCATCCAGGTGAATACACTAGCGAAATTCTCAGTGGCGCATTGCATTGGAAGCATAAGCGAAATAGTATTGAACTAGGTAGAACACGAGGACCAGAAGGAACAAAAAATTTGCCATCTGAAATTAGATGTCCAGGTTGCATGAAACTGAGGAATACTGCCAGAGGACAGTAAATGCAAGGTGTAGATATTTTTTTATATAGTGCTTTTTACTTTCTTAATAAACATATAACTCGTATATGTTGCTAGTTTATGCTAAACCTGTGTCCACTCTTTTCACTGTTTCCCTGTTGTTAGTTCCCTGTTCACATATTGCTTTTCTCCTACGGTATTTATAGAAGATCCCTCATACAAGGATGGCAATGTGCCATATGTCCATAGAATGAATAGTACACTGGGGCCTCCACTACTGTTGAAAACTTGGATATTGCAAATGCAGAAAGAAATCAGAGATGGTGTTGCTTTAGGGTTACACCAGTGATTTCGGGGGAAGTTGGGGAACTGCATAAATGAATAATGCTGTAAGATTTTAAGTGTGCCTCTGGGAACACTAGAAAGGCGAGTCTACACCGAACACTTTTTGAAGTGCTTGTAATTCCCCCGGGCTGTGATGAAAAGCAATACCACCATTCCCTTGTCTTCAGCTTTTCTTGAAGGAGATGTGAGAGCACCTGGCACTTTCAGATAAATGCAGGGCCATTGCCCGAGCTGTTTGTCTGCCTCTGCAGTCAGATTGTGCTGATGAAATCTGGCCCTGCACGTATAAATAGTGAAAGTGCAAACAAGCTGGAGTGCTTCAAGACTTGTCAGGACTTCTGCTGTCTGGTATTTTACCACTCTGCTCTTCTGAGGTGTATTTGCCATCCTATTCCCCTTACTAACCTGCATCTAAATGCAACACAATTTAAAAATACCTGATTTGACCCAGCTATCCCCAGTCTGGGCTTTCTTTTTTTAGTTGCATTTGAACCTGTTAATCAGTTTACATGTGTCACTCTGCCAAGTGATGATACCTGAAAGGCAGAAGTGGTACCTTCAGTGCTCAGGACATGCTTTAAGTCTTGTCTGTGCTGGTACATGCAATATGGTAATGGTTATTGCCTTCACCGCATTAAAATGCCATTCAGGTTCTGTGTTACAACACTTGCTTGTGGTTTTTTGCTAAAAACAGATTTACATAGCTTTTTTTCTTCTTCTTCTTTTTTTTTTAACCCAGTGCCTTTTAATCAAAAGGGAAGGTTTTATGGTTCTGTAAAAGGAAGGCAGCTGAGGGTAAACCTCAGTTCTGATTTAAAATACCCTTTTACTATACTAGAGATTAGAGCTGAGGACTTAATGTCTCTTCAAGATGCTAAATGAGATTTTCTTATTGTTAGGGACAGATTTTTCTTCTATATATTTATGTCTATATAAAATACTGTTGTTTTTTTCTTTTATTTTCTATGTATTGATTTATACTCTGAAATAACTTGTTTAATAATAAAACACATACTGAAAATTAATATGTCTGTGGAACAGACTAGACTTGAATGCAATCTTTTTTCTTTTTTTTTTTTTTTTTTAAGGGACTCAAAGTTCTTTTAAAATATTCCAAATAAATGTTAATGGATTTACTGAGGTTGTAATGTTTTCTTTGTTAAGGAATAGTTTTGAATTTCTAGGAGCAGCTCTGAGTGTGCATAAACCACCACTTCAAGCATAATCTTGAGATAGAATCTTTGGAAAAACAGTGTGGTTATTACTCCTCAGATGATGCCAGGTGAAGTAATAACACTTATTTTACTTGCTTAGGAGCCAACACACTAGGTGGGTCCTCAGTTCCTCTAAGCAATCCAGTGCTGGGAGGATATGGTCAATAGAGACATAAATGTAGTTAATAAGTCATTTTAAAGCTGTGTTTTTCTTAGATATGGAAGCACTTTCAATAGTCATTATGAAGCTTACTTGGAAAGAG